ATTCAAATTGATTTGATCAAATATTTGAGTTTAATTCGATTCGATTCGATTTGAAAAAATCAAATCAAATTCAAATTGCTTAAATATTTGATTTAATTTAATTTTAAGGAACCCTATCCGCTACTACATCTTCACACTCATGACCATCAAAGTAAATATTCTTTGAGTAGTCTTTATATTTCCAGCCAAGTATATGTAGCCATTCACATGCAGTTAAGCATGAAATACTTATTTTTTCTTCTATTCTAAGAATAGGAATAATCTCATTCTCAACGAATTTTACGAAATCAGCAACATTTAATTTGAATTTATATGCGCATAAATATTCAGTAACTTTTAATTTGAGGTCTTCGTAAAGAAGAAAAGATCTAACTTTTGCATGGCAATCACATTTAGATGTAACAATTATACCATTTTTAAGCCATTGGTTTGCTTATGAACAAATAAGCTGTGCTTGTCATGGATCCTTATTTAAGCTTTAAGCAAGAAGATTACTTGCATCCATCTTGGTAAATCTGTGATCCTAGACAAGATAGAGAAATTGACTTACATTTTGAAGCTACAAATCATCTTTCTTTTTTTTAATAATAAATCCAGAGATTCCAAAGTGAACTTATTATCATCATCACTGTTGTCATATGCATTTTCAAATGTGAAGAATGTGGAGTTTGTATCAGGTACAGCAGCTTCATTTGTTGAAAATATTTTAGTAATTTTTTAGAACCTAAAGCTGCTTTTCGCCAATATGCTCTTTTGTTGCGTAATGTTAATTGTATATCACCAATATACACTGGTTCACGTGAGCTTACATTCTATGCATATGCTATTTTTGCATTTTCAATCAGTTGTTCTAATGTATTTGACTGTAATTCTTTCATTCCATTTGTAATTTCATCATTATCTAAGCGAGTTTCCTTACCTTCTATCCAAAAAGTATTAAACTATGATTTATCAATTATATCAGATTTAGCATCTGATAGTTCTAAAGTTACTTCGGGATTTTCTGCTTGCTTCCAACACTTTTTGATAGCATCCTGAGACTATTTAGTACGTTTATTTGGTTTTAGCATTATAATTCTGTTTAATTGAAATAAGTATTTATAAAGAAAAAAATATGCAATAACACGAAATAACACATTTAAACTGATCACGTGATTATATTTCCTGTCACATGTTGGATTTTTAACCAATAAAATTTCAATTTCAATTTAGTAATAATTAGCACAAATTTCAGCGGTGACTTGGTCATTTGATGCGACTAAGCTGTTTGCATCATATAAATAATAAAATAATAAAATTATATTAAAATTTCAGAGGCTATTATTTAATGATTTACCAATCAGATTTCGTGAAATTTTAACTTTAAAGTTTTAAATGATAAGATCCATGCTGAATGTCAAGTATATTAGAGAAAGGGTAAAAAATAATATATAAATTCCATAGTATTACAAGCAATTTTGATTTATCATTTAGAATTGAACATGAAATTACAAAAAATAATCCTATGGGTTATGTAAGAATGCCATTCTTTTAAAATTCTTTTGATTTATTATTTGAAATATCTATTATACTAATGAATGTAAACAATTAATTTAGGTAAAAGATAGAAATATTGAAGAATCTATAGAAATTGCTTGTGGAAAAGCTACACTTAGAAAACAACCAGAAATTGGACTCTTCATGATGGTTTAGATGATTGATGATTGTCAACTACTTTATCTTTTACGATCCTAATCATTCAAAACTTTTATGAATGTTATATGTTTAGGCTTTAATAATCCAGGTGATAAAAAAGCACAACATATTATTAATGATGCATTTCTTTGGTTAACAAAGTAGCTTACCAGTATGTTACAAGGTGCTTAATCTGTTTGTATTACTACTGATTTGTAATCATCACGCAATGATGAACTATATATTAGTATTACAGCTGGATAGTTAGATTCTATTGATTGGATTCTTAAAGAAGCTTTATTAGCTTATAAAAAAATCAATAGGAAATATACTGGTGAAAATATTTATGATGTTATAGAACAAATAATCAGACAATTTCAACTTGAACAAAAACTATTCATTGCTATTATAGATAATGATCCTAATATTGTAAAAGCCATTCGATTGATAGAAATCTCACATACCGGGGGGTATCAAAAGTAGGGTTCCTCAAAATCGAATCGAATCAAATATTTAAGCAATTTGAATTTGATTTGATTTTTTCAAATCGAAT